GAAAATGAAATGAGGTAACTCTTAGGAGAAGCAGTGTGGTGTAGTGGAAATAGCTTGGGCTTTCAAGTTAGAATGCTGTCCTGTGTGGCACCCACTCCTCGGATGTCCCAGGCCAGCTGACAACCTCTGCAGTAACAACAGTGCAGGCACATATGTGGTATTTAACAGGTGATGGTAATACAATCTGTGTTAACCCCTTTCTCCCAGGCTGCAAGCAGAAGGCGTCCTCCCCAGAGAGCCGCTGCCTCCATGAGTGTGTATTAAGGTGTCAGCAGATCGGCTAGGTGGAATGGCAGTTCATTTGGGGAGGAGTTGCATGGGTGTGAAGGGCTCAGTGTAGCCAAGCCCTTGTAGCTCCTTCTTGGCCTCAGATTACTGAAGTGCCTTCAGCTCAGTGGTCTGCTGAGAGTCAGGAAAGGACAGCTTAGAGGAGGTGGCCTTGCTTCCTGTGTCTTTTAATTTGGGGAGGAGAGGGAAAGGGGAGCAGTTGGCACAGGTGGCTTCTGTGTGCAGGATGTCGGTGGAGCCAGAGTTCCAGGGCAGGTCTCCAGGAGCTGAAGGCTGTAGATGTGGCAGCAGTGCCTGTCACCTTTCAAAGTGCTTTCTCTTCCATGAACTTTTTTGACCCTTCACACCGTACCTGTGAGATAGGCAGGCTTAGAACCATTCTCCTCATCTGACAGATAAGGAAATAGAAGCTGAAGACGACAGCAAGTTAGGCTAGAATTCAGGTCTCTCCATTGCCAGCCGTTTTCTTTCCTCCAGACTGATCATGGCGGGCTGGACACACTGGATCAGCCAAGCATTAAAACTGCTACTGAGAGCAGCTGCTTTTTATTATTTGTTTTTGTTTTTTTTTTTTTAAATTTATTTACTGCGTGTCAGGCTCTCTGCTAAGCAATTTATCTTTCATGCAATGTTCACAACTCTGAGGTAGCTAGTAACCAGCATTTTATAATTGACAACTGAAGCACAGAATGGTTAAGCCCAAGGCCCACAGAGCTAGTAAGTGGTGGGAGCTCTATTGTACCTAGGCCCGACCACAGAGCCCACAGGTCCCTAGCCTCTGTGCACGCTAGTCCACTGGTCCTAGGTTGGGGTAGGGTGGGGAGGATGTTAGTATTTTGTATCGTTATATCCATAGAATACATTTCACACCTTCTTAACGGGGGAGACCTGCCTTCCCTCATGAGGCAGAAAGCCATTTGCCTGGTGAGACTTAAGGAGACCTCTGGAGCCAGCACAGGGTTGAGCTCTGACATGCTGTGCCCTCTCAGGGTTGAAAGTCACGCAGTCCTCTTGTCCCCTCACCCTAGGTGGAATTCCCAGAGGCCCGAATCTATGAGGAAACACTCAATGTCCTACTGTATGAGACCCCCCGAGTCCCTGACAACTCCTTGTTGGAGGCCACAAGCCGCAGCCACAGCCAGGCTTCCCCCAGTGAAGACGAGGAGACCTTTGAACTGCGGGACCGTGTCCGCCGCATCCATGTCAAGCGCTACAGCACTTACGATGACCGGCAGCTCAGCCACCAGTCTGCCCATCGGGATTGACAAGACCCTCAGGGAGTCAGGGTGCAGGAGGGCCTGTCTCCCCTCCTATGGAATCCCACCCTGTTGGCCACCCCATGCTGCCGCTGGCTGGGTCTCTGCTCCAGCACCCAGAGGCATGACGGGCCCTGACTGGGAAGTCAGAGGGCCTGGGCAAAGGAGAGACCACATTTCTTTGCCCTGTTTCCCTGAGCACAAGAGGATTGAGTCCTATCCCTGCCTGACAGGGAGAGCTTCTGCCCCATGGGTGAGGGGACTGGCTTAGCCACTTCCTTCTAAGAATATTCCCCTAGGCCTCTGCTGAGCAGCCTTTCCTGTACTGAAGGGCTACCCTTAGGCCTCAGCTGAGGCCTGTGAAAAACAGTTCATTCTGCAAGAAAGGCAGCTTCTGGTGCTGTGGAGGCCCAGTTTCTTACAGAGGGTGGGGCTCCTTTTCTCCTGAGGTATTTAAGCACAAGCTTGGTGTTTGATTTTTAAAAAATAATCTAGGGAATGAATGATTAGAAGTCTAATAATGAAGGGACTGAGCATTTCCGCCACCCCTCCAAGATGCCAAGACCCTGGGTGAGGTAGAGCTCTTGGCCTTTCTCGATGCCTTTGGGATCTGTTCTGTAAAGCACTTTGTACTTTTATCTAGATTTGTATTTGCTCTGACACATGTTGACATTAGTCCCCTCTGCCCTGCAGAGCCAGTCTGAAGGAGGGGATAAAGAGGAAGCAATAAAAACTCACCAGTTTTGACTTCGCCAGGCTGACCAAGCAGCCAGCCTAAAGCACCCTAAGGAAGGATTGTAAGTTGGGGCCTGTGGTCCTGATAGCATCCCTGTGAAAAGCCATTTTTAACCACACATCTTAGAGTCACGTAACTGGCTCCTGTAGTCTGACATGACTGCTCTTATTTATTTGATCCTTTGTGGGTGCAGTTGGCCCCGAGGCACACCATCCTCACTCATGGTGAAGCCAAAGAGCACAGGGGCCAGAAGCCACTTTGCTGAGCAGCATGAGATGCAGCAGAAAGGCTGTGGGGCCGCGGGCACTGCATGGTGGCATGGTGCTGGGCTTGTGCGCCCATCAGCCAAGGGCAGCCCCTGGATAGAGGGGGCCCGTGCAGTCAGCAACTGGTTTTGTGTCCTGGCTGGGGATGGTGGTTCTGCCGAGTGGTGAGTCTCCAAACAGGAGGATAGGAGTAGCCCTAGCCCCCAGGGGCCTTCATTCCTTTCTTGTGGGAGGTGCCAAGCACCAGCTCTTGAGCAAGAGTGAGTGCTTTGGGGCTTTGGTTTTCATTCCCTTTCTTTGTTTGGCTTAGCCCTTGGAAGGCAGCTTATCTGAATTCTTTTCCAAAGGAATGCCAGCAGGGAGGGAGCTGTTCAGCCAGCCTGACAGAGCAGCCCAGACACTCAGCAGTACCCCTCTACATGGGAAGGGACATAGGTTATCAAGCTCATCCCTCTTGACTATTTTTGCTGTAGCTAAGCAGCTGCTCATGGCCGACCCCATGGAGCCTATGGGCAAATTCTAGGCCCAAGGTTAGTGGACACTCAAAATGGCCTGAAATGACATGAGGTGGGGAGGGAAATTACTTTTTAATCAGGCATTTTCCACTTTAGTCACAGTCTTGAATGTATAAACAGCTCCGAGACTCAGGTCAGGCACCGTGGTGATCAGTACTAACCCTCACTGGGGTAACAGATGAAGACAAATCCGTTTCTTTGACAAATTCAGGCTTTGGCTTTGTGGCTTTCTCACAGAGACTGGAATGTTTCAGCCTGAGGCCACTGCCCTATTTCCTCAGCTGACCTCTTCAAGTCCTTTAATGCTCACATTCCCAGCTCCCCACTGAGGTATGTGAAAGCTTGTCCTTTGACGGGTCCATCCCTCACCTGTGCTTCCTGCTCTGACATTCAGCTCGTCAGCTGTCTCACTGGTAATAGTCTGGAACTCTGGGCACTTCCTCTGACTGAAACTATCTCCTTGGTCTTAGGAAAAATATTGACACTGAATTCACTTAAGTGATCTTAGCTTCTTTAATCAGACTGTGAGTTAAAGGTTTGGAGAGTTTTCTTTAAAGGTTTCCCAGCCCCATTCAGAAAGCAGCTCATAATTGGATTTTTCAACTCCAAACACCCAGGAGAGAGTAAATAAAAAGCGTGGTTGAAGGTCAAACTTTGTCAGTTGCTGAGAAAACCAGAAGCCTGCTATCAACAACACTTAACCAGCATTGGGTTTTGTTGAGTTTGGTATCTTACCAAAGTCTGCCAGAGGATAGCACAGATCCTGGCATGAGAGAATCTTTCCTTTAATCATGTAACTGAACTATTTTGTGAAAGCAAACACTAATTTCTAATAAAATTGTGTTACACTGCAATAGTCCAGAGCTGTGTTTACTGTGAGTACGCCTAGGCCAGCTCACTGCTGTAGCTTCTTGTACTTTTCTCTTTGCCACCTGACCTTGTGTTCTCGCTAGCTCATAAGACCAACTGTACTCAATTGCTCTGAAACCTAGGCTCCCCTTGGTGCAAGTTTAAGGACAGTACTAACAAGGGCTGGAACTGAGGCTTAATTCAAGAATAAAATAACCTCTGTTAAACAGTCACACTGGTCGGGGTAGGACACCTTCAGTCCTATTCTACGTATCCCTGCCCTCTCCCTAAAACTTTGTCAGAATCGGGGCAAAATGCAGTACAACTCAATCCAACCCTTGGGGATCTGAGAGCAGCTCAGAAAGTGGCTTGGCTTAGTCACCATCCATACCTAAAGCGGCTCCTCAGCAGAATCCCTGCCTTTGTGGTTTGGGTGCTTGACTGTCAGGCTCACAGCTAGCAAGTCCGTTGCTCATGGAAACCCAACTGGCCTCACTCCTCTCCACGCCTGGGGAAGCTAGAGATGGCAGTGGTTGGTCGATGCTAAAAGCCAGGCCACTCCTCTGACCTGATGCTGGCACCTGCCTGTGTACTTGGCAGAAGGTAAAGAGGAGTCCAGCCTAGCCCCTACCCCACCAGGTGAGGCACAGTGACCCTGGAAGTGGTCCAGCCAGCCCCCAGCCTCAGGAGGGGGCAGCTCCCTGGAAGGGAAAGAAGGAAAGGTCAGCAGGGGAGCCTGAGACCCTGGCAAGAGAAATGGTGAGGGTGGCCAGGCATGCACTGGTTTACAGAGCAAACCTCACATTCAAATAACTGGCGTGACAGGCCAGGAAGCTCCTCCAAGCCTGCGGCAGCTGAACACAAAACAGTTCCTGGTAGATAGGTTTACTGGGACACAGTGTAGGCAGGGCTTATGGGGAGGCCAGCCTTGGAGGAGTCCTACATGGATCTTCCGGAGGAAACAGTTACCTCACAAAAAACTCAGAATCAAATGGCGCAAACGATTAAGAGACCCACTGTGCTCCGTGACGGGGAGAGAGTTCTGCAACAGTTGCGGGATGAGAACTCTCCTGCAGCAGGGCCGAGCCTGGGCGCTCGGGGCCTCAGCTGGCCTACCAGTGAAGGCCTGAGGGCGGTGTCTTCTCATCTTTATTGCTTTCCAGGGAGAAGGGAGGGATCCGGACATCAAAGTGGGAGCCATCAGGTCTCTCGAAGCGGAAGGTGCCCCTGCGGGTCAGAGAGGAGCTGGATTAGCAGGAGTCGGGCTGAGGTTCTCCTGGGGATCTGGAGATCCCCATGCCCTCAGCTTGAACCACAGGCCGGATGATGCAGGCCTGACTCACTTCTGCCGGGCTCATGACAGGATGACACTGGTCTAGAGACCTAAGAGAAGCAAGAACTTAACAGCCCCTCCCAGCCCTACAGGAAGAGAAGAAGCACGGCTATCCTGGTCTGGCCTTTAGAGGCGCACTAAATAAGCTACCTGACTGAACTTCCAGGCTAAGGAGTGAAACTCCAGGAGGAAAACCCAACTACATGGGCAACCCAGTGCAGCCACAGGTCATCAGCGTCCTTTGGCCTAAGCCATTGGTCTACAAATCAGAGAAAACTGGAAAACAGGCAGTCATAAAAAACCAGACAAGTCCCATACAACAGTGAACAGCAGGTAAGGCCCCATCTCACGGCTTAACTTGGCACAGCGTTAACCCCAGGCTATGAGGACAAATGGGTGGCCCTCCCTCATTTTCTGACCTGCAGCTTGTTTCTGTAGAGTTGAGCTGCCCTGCCCAGCGCATGCTCACTTACCACATGTGCCCACTGGAAGCCTGCAGGGAGACGTGGCTGCTGTACTGGAATGCGGGTTGCTCCTTGGATAACACTGGCTCCTGCGAGGGTTCAGGGAAAAGGGTCGGGCTAGGTCCCAGGGTCACATTCCCTGCACCCTGCGGGCCACAGGCTGACCACCAGTTCACCACCACCATCTCAGCCTGCCACTCTAGGCACTCCCACAGTGACTGCCCCTCAGTACCTCCTCCCACAGCATGGCCCAGTGACCATGGGCCTTTTTTTCTGATTCTGGGAAAGATCATCTCAGACCGAACGTCTGAGGCACTGGGCAAAGGTGTTACAGGACCTACTCTTACTGTGCCACTTCTAGTGCCTATCAAGGAAAGGGGACACTGTCAAGTGCCTGAGTGCCAGATAGCACGCCTGGTGCTCTGCGAACCTTTGCTAATTTAATCCTCCTACCAATCACAAGGTAATAGGTATGATACCTATTTTAGCAATAAGAAATTGAGTATTTGGTTAAATAACTTGCCCTAAATTATGCAGCTAGTAAATAACAGCCAGAACTTGCACCCATGCTATCTAACCCCAGACCCCTGCTCAGCAGGACCAGAAGCTGGACATTACTGGCCCGGTGGTGCTCACCCTGCCCACCACCCCTCGGCCTCGCACTGTCTCCAAGGTGCCGGACAGACTGAATATCCTCCAGTGCCGCTCCCGGAGCTGGACCACGTCACTGTCGAGATTCTCCAAGCGGATACAGTAGCGCCACTGAAGGGGTGGGGAAGAGTTCATGTCTGAGAAAGAACCAGACCTTGGGCTAACCCACCCAGAATTCTGTGGACAGCAAGAGGCAACAAAGGCTAACAAGCGTTGCCCGGCTCTGCCGGCCACACCTCCCACCCTGACCCCCGAGGCACACCTCCCGGGCTCCCCTCCACCACCCTGAGGGAGACACTCACCCAGTAGACGTGGGAATTCTGAGCTTCCTAGGGGAAAAACACAAAGAATTTAAGTCCCAGAGAGTAGGACTAAGTCTGTTCCAGTCAGCATCTCTCCAATGGAGTTATTCCAGGAAGGCTACAGAGACAGCAAAGCTGCACGATCTGTGGGATGATGGTGATGACTGAACTAGGTTCATAAGCCCACGGGAGGCAGCCTCCCCAGGGCCCATCCCTTGGCTCCTTCCTCCTCATCCTGTCAAGTTCACCAAAAGAGCTAGCTACCAACCGAAATCTCCTACAGGTTTATTACCTTTCTCACCACCCTCCTGCCAGCCCCCGCCCCAGCACTCCTGGCCCAGGCTGCTGGCCAGCACCTCTGCCCCCACGCAGCCCTCCCTTATTACAATATTTGGCATGTTTTATTTGGGTCTTCTCCACTAACATGAGCTCCTGGAAGGCAGGAATAGTGTTTCATTTATATTTGTATCCCCGAGGCGTAGCTTACAGTCAAGCAAGAAAACAGCTCAATAAATGTCTGACTAACGTACAAAAGTATGAAGCCCAACCTACACTGATTTAAACAAGTATGTGTATTTTCTTCATAAACATGGCTCCCTTTGAACCAGAATGAAAGAAGGGAAGAGTCAGCCCGAGGAGTCATTTCTGGTAGCAGTGAGAGGCATCGGTACCTGTGGGTTTCCCTCCTCTGGGTTTTGGTGTCAGCCATTGCCAAGAGGCTGCCCGACACATGCAGCACTTGGGAGCAGAACCACAGGACACAGCTGAAAGTTAGGACCCACCCAGCAGTCACACTGGGCACACCACCCAGAATCTGGGGACCTAGCCCAGAGGGAAGAGGCCAGGCTAGACACATACCCTCATGCCCATGTAGAAGGGGATGACGGTGACACGGATGTTCTCGGTTGTTTCCCGGTGGACATCGGAGAGCTCCAGCCAGGGGTGGTTTTTCTCCTGCCAGGCCCGTAATGTCTCCCGAGCCACAAAAGGAGGTGCTAGGGCAAGAGACGACTGGTCAGTCCAGGCCACAGTCCAGATCGTTGCACCCAGGCTCTTCATGTGGGGCACTCTCCAATTGCTCCTCCTAGAAAACCCTTCCCACAGGCAGCCCAGGCCAGCAGGATACCCAGACATGAAGCAAAAGCACGGGCCAAAAGGAGGCATAGAGCAGCCCATCAAGAAAAAGCTCTGAGGAGGTAGTATGATTTCATGGGAAGGGAACTGGACTAGGAGTTAGGAGCCCTGGTTTTTAGACCTCGCTCTGCCACCAACTAGCAAGCGTGGGGCACTCCCTCTCATCCCTGAACCTTGGTTTTCATATCAGAAGGAGGAGCTAACAGCCATCTGACAGGTGGGTGGAAGGCTTGAATACAGTTATGGAAATAGCTTTGGAATTATTTCTATGATGCTGTCTATGAAAAACGGGCCCTCCCATTCCACATTCTCGAAAGAGATTACCTTTTGTCTGGTCATATAGAAGAAATCTTTCAAAGAGCTCGTGCTGGATGGGAACTTGATCAGTGGAGGTGTAGGGGAGGATGTCTTCATGGCTGACATAGTCGAGGCCTGGCACAGAGAGGCAAAGAGACCAGTGAAACTCACACAGCAGAGGAGAGGAACGGGGCTGAGAAGAAACAAACAATTCCTGGTCTTGTCCCAGAATAAGATGATCCTGGCAAGATTCCTCTCAGCATCTATGATCCCTCCTAGCAGACGAAAGAATATCAGAAAGGCATCAGAATCCTCTCCCTAAGACCCACTAGATCCCTCGTTGACAGACACCACCCAGAAGCTCACCACTCACCTGGGATGGCATAGAGGGCCCGGCTGTCATCATGGTTAGCCAGGAAGGTCACAGCTTCTGTCTGAGATCTCTGCGACTAAGGCAAGAAGTGAGTCAGGGGCTTTCTTGGCCACTGTTCAACCCTCTGTTTGACCCCTTCTCCCTCCCTTTGTCCCCATCATGGTTCAGGTCTTTCCCCTAGAAAGGAACGTCAGGCTCAGCCATCTTGCTTACGTACTATATGTGGACAGTCTCGGGCGTCGATCAGCACCTGATAGTAAGTGTGAGTTTTGCCTTTAACCTCCTTGGAGCCATGGCCAGCAGGGTTCTCTGCTCTGTAGGGTGGGAGAAGAAGCCCAAGATCACCCTGTGAGAAAAGGAAGCCACTCCTACCACGGTCTCACCTAAGCAGGATTTTGCCTGATCTAAATGTGCTTTAGCACCGCCTGGGGACCTGCTCAGCAAGACCTCAGGCCGGCTGCTCCCCTATCAGGGCAAACAGTGGAGCACAGAGGACCCATGGCACAGTCATCATTTGTCTTGCTGTCTGGATGCCTAATGGAAGAGGAAGGCCGTGTTGAGAAACCAAATTACTGCCTCAGTCCCCTGTGCCCAGAGGACCCCACTCTTCTCACATCCCAGGGGCTTTCTGTGATCATTTCATGGAGCTTGACATTTTTTTTTCCTTAAATGTATTCTAGCAATGATATGAAAGTAAAGAAAAGATTCTAACTGACATCAAGAAGATTGGTCCCCTAAATGCTCTCTCGGGTGCTTATCATAGAGAAAACTGAGAGTAGCTTAGGAGAGCATCCTAGGGAGGCCTGAAGGGACACTCTGGCTTAAGACTGTTCTGGCACTCCGACTTTTGTCTCCATGGGTATCAGTGCCAGAAAAGTGCTCTGGGGCCGGTCTCAAGACCCAGGAGGATGCTGTCTTTGCCTCTGGGGCCCCAATGACATATGCCTGCCATCCCTTCAGGCCATGAGTCAGGCCTACTTCTGAGGATACTGTGAGGCACAGAGACAAGAAACTTACTTTTCTGGAGCTGTAGAAGCCACATCCCGGTCATACAGTCTAGCCTGCCAGGGAAACAGGACGACACCTCGGTAGCCAAAAACACTATGAAGGAAAAGCTGGGAGGAAAGGGAGGCCTCGGTGAATCTGCTGTCTGTCACACACATCCAGGGCCTGGACCACAAAGCAGCACAGGTGCAGACAACTCTAGCTCAAGCTCTTGCATCTCTCCCCCTTGAACTCTGTGATCAACCCAGACAACTTCCCTCCAGGCCTCAGTCTCTGGCTGGAACACTCTTACCCCACTTCACCTGGCTGACTTCTACCTATCCTTTACATTACAGCTTATATCACTTCCTCTAGGAAGCTTTCCCTGACCTGACTCTCCTCCACTTAGCACCATGTGGAGCCGTTGTCCATTTGCCTATCTTTATTCCTTTCTAGACTATAAACTCCATGAAGGCAAGAACTATGTCTACCTTGCTTTCTGATTTAACTGCAATAAACCATGCCTGGTCCACTGTAGGCATACCAAAATAATAAATTAATTAATTAAACAAATGAGCCCTCCTTATCTACCAAACCAAAAACCAAACCCATTGCCATTGAGTCGAATTCCGACTCACAGCAACCCTGTATGAGAGAGCAGAACTGCATAGAGTTTCCAACACTGTAAATCTTTATGGAAGCAGACGGTCACATCTTTTTCCTGTGGAATGACTGGTGGTTTCAAACTGCCGACCTTTCGGTTAGCAGCCAAGCTCTTAACCACTGCATCACCAGGACTCCTTCCTTACCTACAAAGGGCCTGAATCTGCCTCAGCCAAGCAGCATGTAGCTGACACAGAAGTTCCGCAGACCCAGAGCTCACCACACTACAGCCAGTTCAGCTACGACCAAGCATCAAAGGTTTCGTTTTCTGAAAGCTCCCTCCACTGGCTTCCCACCATCCACTACACGAGAGGACTCTGCATCCACTGGGTTCTCTCCTCACTATAGTCCAAAGCATCTGTGGACATACTAACTGGGAAAGAGAACCCACTGACACTCCAAATCCAGGAAAACAAAACCCATCTTGAAAGATTAGTGGTTCTGATCTGGCACCAAACGCCTAGCAGAAAACCGTAACATTCAGGCCTGTGACCAAATCCAAGTCTGTTTAGAAGCAGGGCACATCAGGAAAAATAAAAGATGACCCAGCCCAGCACTCACCTGCCCAGTCTCATATTTTCCATTCTGTTTTGGCACCTCAAACACACCGACTGTTTCCAAAACTTTGCCCTCCGGTCGGTTTCTGATTAGGAAGAAAAAGAACAAGCAACTGAAAAGCTGAGACGGTAACGGTATTTATCCATCAGAAAAAGCTACTAGAATGCTGCACGGCGAAAGCAATGAGCATAGAAATGGAGCCAGCTGAAGCAGGGAAGGGTCCTGCCAAACTACACCACAGAGTTTCTGCCTTTCCTCCTTGGAGGTCCAGCCACAGGCCCCTGCGTGATCAAACCTCCCCAAGCTCTCGGTGTGGGAACTGCTCCCAGGTCACTTCTCTCTTCACTCTCAGCATTCCTCCTCTCATGCCCACTCATATGTGCCCTTCACCTCCATTTCTTCCCGACCCACTCTCCTGTCCCTCCCACCTTGCATTTCAGTTGTGTCCCTGACATATCTCCATTAGAACTCTTAAGCTCCCTGGGAGCAATGCCTGTGTCTGATTGGCCTGTACTCCCCTGAGCCTACTGTATAAGAGATGCTCAATAAATATTTGTTCTGTGTCATAATTCCATGTCCTTCTCCCCCTCTAAACTGTAGCCCTCACCCTGCCCTTGAAGGGTTTAGCCATCTCTACATTTCCTACTGTACACCCCAGTAGCCTCTCAAGGCAGTTTTTCTTCAGATTTACATCAATTTTCACAGGGGTCTTAAGTTGCAAATAGTTACCATCCCTCCCCAATATATTTCTAATCTCAGCCACTAAAAGTTCAGGTCTCTGGATAGGGCTGTTCCTCTAGGGGACCTTGAAAGCACTACGATTCTTACTATTTTGGAGATGTGAACTTTATGCTTCCTCGTTTTGATCCTTTGGCCCCAATCTGACCAACCTGCCCCATCCCCAGAGACACCATCCCCAAGGGCTCAAATCCCCTTCCCCAAGTCACATAGAGAGAATTCGTCTCCCCAGTGTCTCACTGAAACCTAGAACCCACGCAGGGCCCAGACCTGAGATACTGTTTCCCATCTCCAGCATCTTTCTGAGGCCCTGACCCATTCGTGGGGGCTGGGAGTTCATGTCAAAAGCCTGAATTAAAAGGCTGGCCACTAACAGCAGTGCTCGGGGGCCCCCCAGCCGGTGAGGTGGAATTCTGCCTGGGAGAGTTACTTGTTCTCCCTCAGAGTCGGTCACCACACAACTCGGGACTCTGGGCCACGTTCCCTTCTTTGCTCTCGGCACACGTCCCAGGCGGCGCAGTTCCGCGCCTTGCTCGGGACCCTCTCCCGGGGTGAACTCCAGTCACCCTCAGACAGCCTGGTGCAGGCCCGGCCTTCTGGCTTCCTCACGGGCCGGGAACACCGCTTCCTGGGCTTCAAGCCAGGTCCCCTTGCCCCTTCGCTCCGTCCCTCACCGGGACGAGAGGTGCCTCCGTGTCGTCGTGGTTGCCGCTGGCGGGAAGGACCCAGCTCCACCCGCTGCACAGAGCGGCCACGGCTCCCGGGCCCTGGTCAGCGACCGTGACCACCAGCGGCTTCCCACGGCCAGGGCCCGCCGGGCTGCACAGCCCGCCATGTCCCACCAGAGCGCCCGCTCGGCTTGCTGACACACGACCCAACCCGCGGCCAGGCGGCGTTCCGCCCCGGCCCCACACTGCCCCTCGCCGCGCCCCGCCCCCTGGCCCTCTGCCCTGCCTCGCCCTCTCCCGCGAGCTCTGTGGTTCTTCCGGCGCATGGCAGGCGGAAGTCGCGGGTCGGGGTCACCTGACCAGAGAGTCGCATAGACATGGCGTCTTCTTTGGTGGCTGGTGAGCGGTTGGTTCGCGCTTTGGGCGCCGGTGGGGAGCTGGAGCCAGAGCAGCTGCCTCGGAAGTTGCGAGTCGAACTTGAAGCCGCGCTGCGGAAGAAGCACAAGAGCGATGATAGCCCCGGTGACCCCCGACCCCTGGTTTCCTTCGGTCTGATCCGGGATCTGCACCAGCACCTGAGACAAAGGGGTGAGCCCCAGCGTCCAGTCCGGGGCGCCTCCTTGTTTTCAAAGTCTTCTCCTTGTTGAGATCGTTTTCCATCACTCTCTTTCGCCCCCCCCTCCCCGAACATCTGTCTCGCCAATACTTGTTAGGTGCCGTCGAGTCGGTTCCGATTCATAGCGACCCTGCATACAACAGGGTCACCTCATAAACCTTAGTGCCACCAACTCTCTTCCCAGCTCCTCTGGGAATTCTTCGTGAGATGACAAAATTTACTTGTGCAGTTTCTGTCCTCTTGAGAGTCTCCCCTATCAGGTACACTGTAGAGTCCCTTGCCCCTTAGGAAGTCCAAGTTCTGACCCAATATCACCTCACAGGTTCAGTTTCTTCCTTTCAGGCCACATTAGGAACCACCGTAGCGTAGTAACCTTGTCCTCCTGGGGAATCTCGATTTCTTTTCATCTTAAAAGCAAGAGTTGTCAGTTCTTCGTTATTCTGTTTTGTGTTTTTGTTTTTAGATAGGAGGAAGAAAGCCATGCAGAATGCAGAAAGATCTGGACTAGGAATAGCATCTGAGTTCTAGTCCTAGCTTTGCCACTGACTTCCCTTGGAATAGTCATTTCCCACCCTGAGCCTCAGTTTCCTTATCTGCAAAGAGAGGAAATAGGACAAGCTGGCATCTAAGATCTTTTGCCAGTATTAACGCAGCCTAGCTGGAAACAAAAGGTAGACTCCCCAACTATTGGTACTGAGAAGGACCTTATAAAGAGGTAAGCTAATCCAGGGTCCTGAGTATTTGGCATCACTGTGACCTAAACTGTTTAGGTCTGTGTGGCCATAGAAATGACCTAACTCACAGGCAAATGTAAATAGCTTACACGTTAGTCATGACATGGGCAGGATAATTGAGAACTGACAGAGTCAGCTGTGCAGCACCAGGAGCGGCTTATGTGGAATTGTCCTAGATTCTTACCAAGTGAAAATGATCCTGGAGAAGGATTGATATAGTAGTGGCCATGTTTTATTTTTGTAGAAAGAATAGAAGAACTAGACTCTTCTCTGATGTAAATCCCTCAGCCTCAGCTCTGGATCACTGTGTTGTGGAAACCTTTTATTCCCAGACTCCACGCTGTATCTTCATGAGCTCCTGGAAGGCAGTGAAATCTATCTCCCAGAGGTTGTGAAGCCTCCGCGGGTACGTAAGGGATATATTTGTGAGAATGGGCATTGGCTAAGTTGAGCTTATTCATGATACTTGAATTTAAAAATCAGCTTTTGAGCTCAAAACTTTGCCTTTTAAATCCTTGGGAACAGGGGTGGGGGAAAACAGATATTGTCCTCCCGGATTGACAGCTTGGAGTGAAGGCAGAGCTGATACATGGGTGTCCTGGCACCCTCAGCCCCTTGGAACCAATGATTGTGACATACTTTCTAGCAAGCTGGAGATACAACTCTTCTCATTTGATTTTTCTGCCCCAGAACCCAGAATTAGTTGCCCGGTTGGAGAAGATTAAGATACAGCTGGCCAATGAGGAATATAAGCGGATCACCCGTAATATCACCTGCCAGGTAGGGGTAGCCCTACACTGGGAAGAGGTACAGAGGGAAGAAAGAAACATGGAAACATGATGTATATACTATTCAGAGATCATAGGCGCTTTGTGCTGCACATACACCAAATATATTCCCAACTTATTCATTGGAACTCTGGGTTCAAATGGTGACTGATTCATAATAGTTATAGGCAGGGCTCCCTACTGTTCTCTGGCATGCTCCTGCCCTAGAGCAGGAGGGGAGTAGATGGTTACTGAGAGCTTATGCCTTTTCCCTGAAATGCATGATCTGTGGTCCAGGGAAGAGACAAACTGGTTCTAGACAAAAAGAATCCATGGAAAAAGCAGAGTGAATGTGTAGGGGAATAGGGAGGATTAAGCAAGACTACAAGTGGGTACTCTTTGGGCTGCCTCTGAGCTTCCATTCTGAAATCATCTGCTTTTCCTTTTTCCCAGGATTCAAGGCATGGTGGGACTCTGAGTGACCTGGGAAAGGAAGGTGAGATACCAGGAAATCAGGCTACTAAAGCCTCTCCCTGGGGTGGATCACAGAACTCCTTCCCACCCCAGTGCTCTGTGTTTTAACTGGAGCTGTTTGTCTGGGTTCTCTGGAGGTGCAAAACCAGTGAAGCACACATATAAATAAAGAGAGAGATGTATTTCAAGGAAATCGCTTATGCAGTTGTGGAGGCTGGCAAGTCCCAAATCCTTGGGTCAGTGGCAGGCTGGAGGCTTTTCCTGACTCACGTGGTAACGGGCCAAGGAACCCAAAATCTGTAAGTCAGGCAGCAGGCTGCTGGCTCGTGGGCTTGCAGGAGCTGGCAAATCCAAAATCTGCAGGTCAGGCAGCAGGACCTCAGGTCCCAGGAACCAGAGGTCAAGGGATGACAAGGGAGCGAGAGCGCTTTGCCAGAACATCCATATATATTGGATATAGGCCACACCCCTGAGGAAACTCCCCTTTCAGCTGATGGGTTGCTCACATCAGATCATAAAATGGAGGATGATTACATAATATCTGCCAGACCAGTGAAAATCATGGCCTAGCCAAGCTGACATGTAACCTTAACCATTATGTTATTCGAGCTTGTACTTTGAGGGGAACCAGTTAATGGGGGAGGCAGCCATGAGATCAGAGGGGCTCTGAAGAATGTTGACCTAAAGATTTCTTCTCTGGGCTCCTCCTCAAAGTGAGGTCGGTAAAGGCTCTGGTCATCACCATCTTCAACTTCATTGTCACGGTGGTAGCTGCCTTTGTCTGCACCTACCTTGGAAGCCAGTATATCTTCACAGAAATGGCCTCGGTGAGTAGGCACTGGGCAGGGCGGGTGCCCCAGAAGGGGCTGTTAATGGGAAAGGGAGGATGTATGCCTTGCATAGGTCAGAAATTGAATGAATGTTTATACAATAAACAAGAAGGATCATTTGAGCTTCCCAGCAATCATGGGGTGGATAATAACCCCAAGAGAAGCCAGATCCTCTCTTCCACCTGCCAAACTTAAGAACTGGGTTGGGGTGTTTTCCATCCTTGATAAAGGTGTTGGGGTTGCAGAGCTGAGTGCTAGCCTGCATCCCCTAAGCCTGGTCCTCCCCGTCTCCAGCGGGTACTTGCTGCATTGATCGTCGCTTCTGTGGTGGGCCTGGCCGAGCTGTATGTCATGGTACGGGCGATGGAAGGCGAGTTGGGAGAGCTGTAACTGGTGCTTCATCTTCAATGTCTGGAAAAGTTTTGGGGGCCTTCAAGCTCCCAGCTTCCTGTCACTCTCAGTCAGCCCATCAGGTGCTTTGTTCTAAGCTCCAGTAAGTGAGAGGGCCAGGCCACCTGCTCTTCCTTTTGGGGAGCCCTATCATCCATGAATTTCCAGAGGTCTGAGAAGTGGAGGGGACTCAAGCAACACATCTTTAAACTCAGAGGACTGAGCTGTCAGTACCGTCTCCTGAATCTGGTGCCCTATCTGCCTTCTCCAGCCCGTTCTGAGCACTCCTGGGGCTGGTTTTTTTCCATTGGGAGTAAATGGAATCTAAACCTTCCCAGAAGTAGACCATACCGCCTTGAACTTACCCAAGTGCACAGATCAGTTGTCATCCTTTGTACACGTGTCCCTGATGCAGATCTGAAATTTAGGTCGGAAGGCCTCCCAAAAGCAGAAAGGGTCTCCTTTCTCCAGTTTGTGCTGAAAGAGGGACTGATCAGAGGATGCTGAACAAGAGAAAGAAGGGTTGGTACAGGATGGTGAAACTGGAAGCAAGGCAGCTACCTTTTCAGAATTGTAGTTTTGATCTTCATCCTTCTCTCTCTGTCTACTTGCCTTTTTCTGATTTTCTACATGCTTCTGCCAGTCTCTACCACTCACCAACCCTCCTTCCAAACACACTTTGCTCTGCTTCCAAAATTGAAAACAATCCAGGTGGCTAAACAGTATGTCTGCTTTTAATTGCAAAATTCCATGTGTTTGCATATGGGGGGATTATATCTATTGGAGATTGTCTCAGTTAATAAAGAGGACCTGTTCTTTGTAGACAGGGACTATTTTCAAACTTCAACTATGTATAATATGAACGTACATACTGGTATACATAAGTCTAATGCAGTATATCTTATGTGGGTTCTTAAACGTGTTTGGGTAAATACAAAAAATTACACGTAAATGCCCACAGTTGACGCATTGTGTTACATGGTTGCCTTTGGTCTTCACAACAGTCCTGAAGGTTGGAAAAAGAAATGATGTAGGCCCCTTTTCCAGAAGACAAAACTGAGGCTGAGCGTGATGAAATGACCGGTTTGTGGCCCTTCGTCTGATAAATGGAGCCAAGGACTCCTTGGTTGTCCTGAAGTCTCTGTAGTGTTACACTTCTGAGAACTTACATTAGTGTTGTGATGATAGAGTCTGCATAGGGCACTTAGAAGGTTATCGGCAGTAGTTATTTATCTAATAAATATTTATTGTATCCACTGTATTCTTATTTCAAATCCTGTGACAAACAACAGACATTTCTATAGTTACGAGAATTGTTCAGAGTCTGCTCGTAATCGTTATTGTAAGTTGGCATCTAGTCACCTCTGACTCATGGTGACCCCATGTACAACAGAACGAAACTTTGCCCAGTCCTGTGCCATCTTCATGATCATTGGTCTGCTCGAGTCCATTGTTGCGGCCACTGTGTATTTTGAGTGCCTCTGAACCTAGGGGGCTCATTTTCCAGCATGATATCTGTGAGGTGGTCCTCCCATCTCCCCCTCCTGCCACTTCCCCCAGCTCCTGCCTCCCCTCTCTGCACCTTTCATTAGGATGAGGTCTGTACCTGATCCCAACCTTCTACTCCCACATACCTTTGAGGGCAGGACTACTTGTGGCTATAGCAGCTCTGCATGACCTACAAGCAGCAGGCATCTGTGGCATTGAGCACTTACTAAGATCTCCTTTACATGCCAGGCACTGTGCTAGCTTCCAGGGATAGAGAGAGAAAAGATCTCGCACTGCCTAGTGAGGAGGAAACAGCCCAGTGTGCTAGATGGTTTCTCTGCAAGGGCAGCAAGTTAGAAATGGGAACTGAATGGCCTGTCTTCCACTTCCCATCACAGAGAAGGGAGCTCTGTCTTCTCAGCCACCCTCTGTCTCACCATACCACGCTTTCTTCAATGCACCTTGGGTCCAGGGCTTCCCTGGGAGAGGGGAGTGCTTGGCAAGCGGTCAGAGGAATAAGAAGTTTGGGGCCAGCCTTCTCCTGGCCTGCTGTATGGAAAGGAAATTAGTGTTAACATTGAGAGCCCTAAAAATGCGGCACACATGCCGTGAAGCACTTTACCTACATTATCTCATCGCATTCCCCATATGGAGAGGAGACAAGCATTACCATCCCCATTTTCCAGGCTCACAAGAGTTTTAGAGGTTTGCCAAGCTTATGTAGCAGAGAAGCTACAGGGTGGAGGCAGCTGGAGTGCCATGGAACCAGAGAGGTTGGGAGCAGGCCACGCGTGCCAGCAGAGGCTCCCATTGCCCCAGGGTCTGTCGATCAGAGCCCTAAATCTGCAAATTGACTTTCCCTGTAATCCCAGCAGAAGGCTGGGTAATAGCTCTCCACCCAGGATCTGTGGAACCCAGCTGTATTTCAGGATTGGGTGATGGGGGTCAAATTCAAAAGCAAATGTCTCCCATTTCTATTCATTGCTGCACACAACAATCCAGATTAAGATGCAGAGTTGGAGTTTTATTTGGGGATTAGTCGGTATTACAGATGACAGCGATACCAAAACCCATTGCTGGTGTACCCATACCCACCCCAAATCTGCCAAGTGGTCTCCACTTGTCAAAGGAGGGAGCAGGGGACCCATTTCTGTGCTAAGTCCTAGGAGGGGCAGGCCTAGGGTGGGTTAGAGGAGCCAGAGGAGGGGTCTTGCAAGCTCTGGGCCTAGATTAGGAGTGGTCCAGGTTGGTGATGACGGCCGAGGCATAGATGAGGTCAGGCTGCCCAGTGAGGTCTGGGGAGTAGTTTCCTTCAAAGAAGGGTGGGCCTCTGAAGCCCCAGCCAGTCCCCATGGGGCTGCAGCTTTAGCCCCTGCCCAGCCCTGCCCTGGACCCAGGCTAGGAGCTGGACAGGAGGAGTGTGAACACACTGAGGTGTGCTGTTGGAGGGTTGAGGCTGTCCCAGTCTGCGGGGCTCGCAGGGCTGCTGAAGAGTGGGAGAGAACAGGAGCTCTTGCGGGGAGGGGTGACCTCAGGCCTGGGGTTTAGGCCTTCCAGCTTTCTATTCTTGATTTTCTTGGCCCAGTGGTTCTGGGAGCACACCTGGTAGGGAAGAACAGGGAGTCTTTTCTGGCTCCAGCACCCCCAACCCCCAGGAACAGAGAAAGCAGAACCTAGAGGCTCGATACCCAAAGAGAAAGGGCTGTGGGTCAAGCTCAGAAGCTAGCTGTGCAGGTGTACCCCAGGTCCGAGAGGGAGTCACAGTTCACCTGGATCTTGCCCTCAGGGAGACGGGTCACCTGGGCCAGGCGCTCATGGGTGCTGATGTCAGGATAAGGCAGTGCTGCAAACACCCGCTGCAGCTCCAGCAGCTGCCCTCTGCTGAAAGTGGTCCGCTTCCTCCGGTGGGAATCCAGTCCCCGGGCACGACCTGGGGGCCGGTGGCAGTCAAGCCAAGCAGTCAATTCCCTGCAGCAGCCTTCTGCTTCCACCCCCTCCCATCCTCACCCCCACCTCCGACTCAAAGCCCTCAAAAGACCCTGAAGCCCCACCACCCCACTCCTTTCCCCCATCACACCCTTCCCCACATCCTCACCCAGCCCACCCCTTCCCCATCAGATCACCTGCTGTGGCTGCATCAGTCCAGTTGGCCATGGGGCTAGCAGATGACGAAGAGCCAGTGGGCTAGGCCAGGGCTGTGACCACACCAGACCTCTCGGTTCAGGTTTTATCCTGGTCAGCATGGCTGGCCCCGCCTCTGGGGGAGGGGCTTACAGTCCAAGGGGGAGGGGTCAGGGGCAGGGTTTAGGCTTACAGGGGTGTGGGTGGGGCAAAAGTTTTGTGGCGTCTACCCCTCAGGGCTTCCCTAAGGAAAGTGGTCCTAGCCTCCCTCCTGGTACTTCAAACTCTGGCAGCCTGTGTCCAGAATCCTGTACTTCATGAAAATCTTCCCAAGGCTCCTTCTAGAAAGCCAAAGCGATTGCTCTCCCACTCTCCCACACCCCCTGGAGCCCTCAGTGCTCTGTCCTGGTCCTGGCCGCCGTCATGGACGAATTGAGCCCTAGCTGATGACAGAAGACTGGGCTAGTGAAGCTGGCCAGGATGGGGAAGAGTGACGGGGGACAGCAGATGAGCTGGAGCTGTCCACCCCCTGCAGGGCTGGGGCCATATGTCGCCGGCCAACCAGATGGCCCTGGGGCCTGCTTTAGAGCTTTGCCTGCATCTACCCTTTCTCCCCCACCCCTCAGAAGCCCGGATGGAGTCATCCCAGAAAGGGTTCCACAGGTGCAATTGAGGGTTTTTAAGAAAGGTGTTTGTTGTTACAGTGTTCTCTTCCTTCAAGCCCCCTGGACCACCTTTCTAAGAGAAGGGATGCGTTTGAATTTCATTTCCTGCCCTCCCCTCTCTTCTAACCTCACGCCTCCTACCCAAGACTCAAGACAAAGACCTCAAAGAATGAAAGGGGTAGGTTTGGGGGAGCACACCCCCAAGGGCTCAGGAGTCTGAGCTACCCGGATTTCAGGTTCAGGATGGGCAGAAAAGCCAAGCCAGAAGCCATCCACCTCCCTGCCCCTTCTCTCTCCTCCAAGACCCTAGTCAACTCCTGGGGCAAAGCATGCCCAGGGCTGGAACGGTGGCTTGAACTTCTGGTCATCATCAAAGGGCTTCAGGCTCCTGCTTAGCTGCTGGTGGGGCTGTTTGGGGGCTGCTTAGCAGGGGAGGAGGGCTGTCTCTCAGGGAGTCCTCCCCAGTCCACCGCTTTCCAGGTCCATTGGCTGGCCTGAGCCAACATGGGTTGGACACACAGACCCTTCTCTGTCCCCCCTCCCAGCCCATCGTGACAGGCCAGCTTCCCCTCCCTCACCAGGCTGTCCACCCGAGTCAGGAGAGCAGTCTTAAGCTCGGGACCAAGGGACCTTTATTGAGGTGGGAGGAGGGAGCTACAGAAGGCCCAGCTGTGTGGACTCGGGTTCCTACTGGTGGCCAGGAGCTGGGCAGCCCAGCCAGTACGTGTCGATGGAGCGTGGGTAGGGCGGGTTCACGGTGTCCACGCGCCGGGTGCGAAGGTTGACTCGATAGTACTTGTCTGGAAGAGAACGCAGGGGAGGATGTGTGAGACCTGCCCATTCCTGCCCTGAGAGAGAAGACTCGGGGTCTCTCCTGGAAGGGTAACTGAAGACCTGCGGTGCAGCCGGAGACTCAGGGCCTGGCTTTCTGGGGTCACTGCCCTTGGGCTAGACCAGCTACAGGAGTGGCAGGGGCTCCCACCTCCCGAGAAGAAGTAGACGCTCTGAATGGGCTCGCAGGAGGCAGACACCAGCCAGTCCATGTCGTAGTCAGAGTAGGTTCCCAGCCCGCTCTCCTCACTGGAGAACCAGGACTGCCAGGCTGAGCGGATAGGCGGGCGTGAGTAACGGCTACGGCGGCGACCGTGGCGAGAGCGGTAGCGTTTGCGGTTGCGACGTGCAGACTTGGTTTTTTTGGCCCAGGAGGAGCGGGGAGCGGAGCCTGAGACGTAGATGTGGCCAGCCATGGCGGCGTCCACCTGCTCCGGTACACCTGGCCAGTGCTGGCTGATGAACTTGGGCTCGCTGGCACCACCTGTGGCGGGGAAGGGGTTAATAGGGGCCCTGGGAGCTGGGGCCTTGCCCCCTCCAGCAGGGCCTTTAAAGTTCATCTGGTGCCCAGAAATGGGCTGTGCCTTGCCCAAGGACACACAGCCAGCTAGGGGCAGAGCCCAGCACCCAGGCCTCTGACTCTCAGTCCAGTGCTCTTTCCCCTGCCCTCCCTACATCATATCCCAGGGTGTCTCCTCCCACCTCCTAGGCCTCCCTAGTCCCCTCAAGCCACAGGCCCTCCCTTTGCTGGCTGTGTCCGTAGCTGTGGTAAGCAAAGTTCAAGGTAAGGGGTCCAGGCTGAGCCAAGTCACCTCCCAAAGGTCAACAGAAGCAAAGTCTGGACTGAGCAAACAGCTCTTGATCGATAGTTCCACAACCACAGACCCCTCAGCCAAGCCCTCCCCCTACCCAGGGGACCCCAGCCCGCTTGAGGGGGAAGCAAGACTTGCCCTCCCTCCGTACCAAGCGATCTGCCCCAGAAGAGAAGCTCAAAGATGTCCTCCCAGCTGTCCCGATGCATTAGGGCGAAGCGCGCAAACACAGCAGACAGGGAGCTGCCTTCACACTCCTCCTGACTGGGCTGCTGCTGGAACGTGTACTCCCAGTACTGTTTCCCTGGGGAACAAGGCTACTGGCATCAGGAGGGTGGCAGGAACAGGGCTGGAGCTCCTGGCGTGGGGGGTGGGCATAACCGGAGGCCTGTCCCCATTGAAGTGCTGAGGGAAAGTGAGACTGCTCCACTGCTTGATCATTGTCCCACCCACTCCCTGAGTACCCTTGAAGAAGTAGGCCCGCTCCCGGCCACTGTAGCTATGGGCAGGGAGGGCCAAGGCCGCATCCACGTTGTCCGGGATGCCCTTGAAGCCTTCAGAGATGTTGCGAGGGTAGTCGGGGTCCAGGACACCATCCTCGAAACGCCAGTACTGGCTACCCTAAGGAGTAGGGAAGGTGAGAAGCATGAGGAGGCAGCTGGCCAGGCACAGGGCAGAACCCCCCACCCCAAGGCAGCTATCCCCAACTCTAGGCTTGTTGCCCAGGACCGGGAGCCTCAGACTGCCCTGTCCTCACAGAGCCCCAGCCACGTACCCACAGAATCCCGGATCTGGCCAGCCCTCCTGCCCATGGTGGCCCTGGCACAACAGCTCTCAATTCTTCCCTAGAAGCCCTCCACCCTGACCCACAGTCCCTGGGCCTGGCACCTTGAAGAGATAGGTCTTCCCCAGACAGTTGATGCGAGTGAAGGCAGCATCAATGGGGCCCTCGATGCCCCAGACGTCTCGGATGAGCTTAGGGTACCCAGGCCTCACTGCCTTTTCATCCAGCTCATAGCAGTACTGCCCTGGAGTTTGGGAGACTCTGTGAGGGAGGGGACACTCCTGGGGCAGACCCCCACCCCTGAAAACTGCCCTTGGTATCACCTCGGAAGGCAAAGAGGGAACCGTTTTTGAGATTGGTGAAGGCGTCAAAAGGCTTCTCACTGCACAGCTCCTCCTCCACTGGGGACTCTAGGTCACTGGTCCCAGGCCCTAGAGCCACCACCTCAGTCCTTAGGGTCACCCTCTCAGGCTCTGGGCCTTCTTCCTCAAGGTTCGGAACAGGACGCTGCTGCAGGTCAGGGCTCTGGATGGGGTTCTCTGGCTGTGGGTGGATGCTGGCGTTGTGTTCGGTCTGTTCACGGTAGTCAGAGACTCCATATTCATCCTCGGGCAGAGTGAATACATCCCCGCGAGTCACTGCAGGTAGAGAGGGCGGTGAGTCTCCAGCTGCAGCAGGGACTCCAGACCTACCCACCATAGCTCTGGACGTACCTTGGGGCTTGCACTCGTCCATGTAGTCGGCACAGCAGCTCTGGTAGTAAGAGCAGAGCTCATCGCACTGACACTTCGTGTCAGCATTGAAGCCCTCCGTGCAGCGGCCCTTGCACGACTCTGTGGGGAGGGGGTGTCAGTTGGCAAGGCCAAGGCCCGGGTCACCCTTGCCCACCCCACATTGGCCCAGATGGCCACCAACACCCTCCTGCACCTTGGTCGGCCAGAACAGCCCATGCCAGCAGGGCCAGCATCAGAAGGGGTCTGGGGGGTGCCATGGCAGGGCCTCCAGCCGCAGGCCTGGTAAGCTGTGCTCTGAGCTCCCTGAAATCGCAGCTCTGATGTAAGAGGAAGAGAGGGAGAGGAGGAGACTGGGAGGGAGGGAGGAGGGAGGGACTGACAGAAGATGAGCTGCCGTCTCTGCAGCTCTGTTTGCTCAACCTGCAGCCCAGCCCCCCAGTACCCTGACCCGCAGGCTACTGCAAAGGGTCACATTCCTGGAACCCTGGGCCTGGGAGAGCTGGGAAATGAGATCTTTGCCAAGCTGAGGGTCATTTCAAATAGCACAGTGGGTGTAGAGGTCAGAACGAAGGTCCTCTCTGCCATTTACTGGCTATGTAACCTTGGTCAAATTGCTTTACCTCTCTGAGCCTTGGTTTTCTTTTTAGTAAAATGAGACTAATAATACTTACCTCATGGAGTGTTGAGAGATTACATGAACTGAAGTAGATAAAATGTGCAGTGCCTGGATTAGCCTCACATTTTCTCCATAAATGGTTATAGATCCATGATTTGTTTGATCAGGCGCATCCCTGGCTGGGTGGCTCACCCAGTGAATGTTTTGTATATTTAGGGCATTTAAAGGAAGGGTGGGTGGAGAGATGGTAAACAGTCTGGGGATTTTTTTTTTTTTTTTAATTGCAAAAGAACAAAGTTTGATTTCTTGGTTCTCTCTTGGATACAATGATTTCCCCAAGCTAGTCTTCACAGCACAGGACACTGGCTGAATATTAACCCTTTGGAGTGGATTTGATTCCTGAGTTTTCCATGAATCCACTGATCCTGGACTGGCCATTCCATGTCCCCACCCTCAGTCTCTCCATCTGTAAAGAATGGGAGTGGGCTAGTCCAGCACACTTTTAGATTCTCATGAGAAGTATAGTCCCTATGCCCAGAAAATCCCCACTGGCACAGAATGTCTGATTTTGTGCATAATTTCAGGAAGTCCAGAGGCCTCCTGAGATCCTCCTACCACCTGGAAGAAGTGATCCCCAGGGCTCCCAGCTGACTTTTTCTGTTCTGTAATCAGAGGGGAGTATGACTTTGGACAATCTCTTCTCTAAGGGCCTTAGTCACTTCAATTGTAAAATGAGAACATTAACCCTACCCCATAGAGACGTTATGATTCTTCATTGAGAAATAGGTATAAAAGGTCCTTGAGAGTTGTACAGTTATTATTATGATTGTTCTAACCACTAGTAGGCGCCCCTGCATGGCACAATGGTTAAGTTCTCGACCACTAACTGAAAGGTTGGCGATTCAAACCCACCTAGAGATGCCGCAGGGGAAAGGCCTGGCAGTCTGCCTCTGAAAGGTCACGGCCTTGAAAGCCCTATAGAGCACAGTTCCACTCTGAAACACATGCGGTCTCTGTAAGTCAGATTCCACTCAAGGCAACTGACTTGGTTTTTGGTAACCACTAGTAAGGAAAGAAGCGCCTGGGTGGCACGTGCGGTTTTGAATGGCTGCTAACCTAAAGATTGTCAGTTTGAACCCACCCAGTGCCTCCTCAAAAGAAAAGCCTGGCAAACTGCTTCCTTAAAGATTACCTTCAAAACCCAAACCGGTTGCTGTGGGATCTATTGCTCCATAGGGTTTTCTTGGCTATCATCTTTACAGAAGCAGTTTGCCAGGGCTTTCCTCCACGGAGCCGCTGGATAGGTTTGAACTGACAACTTTAGGTTAGCAGCTGATTGCAAACCGCTTGCCCCACCCGTGGAGCAGTTCTATTGTGTAACACACAGGGTCGTCATGAGTCAGGGGTGACTCCAGGGCAGCTAACAACAACAAAGGAAGAGGCACACTCAGCGGTGTTATCCCACGTTTCAGCGTCGGGGGAAACCAGGCAGTCCTTTCCCTCTCCCTCCCTCCTCCTACATCCAGCATGGGGGGCGTGGATGCGGTAGAGGGAAGAGCCTGGCCAGAGTATGGGCGTGGCTGGGGCAGCTGTGGAGGCGCGGCTGGGCAAGCTGAGGAGGAGGAGTCCTACGAGTCGAGGGGTGGGGCTTCGACCCGAGTCCGCCGCGTCTCAGGGGCGGGGCAGCTGCAGGGCATCTCTCAGCCTAGCGGTACTGGAGCCTGAGCCCAGCGGCGCTGTGTTCCCGCCACAGCTTCCTCGACCTTTCAGCGTTTGGGTCCATCTCTCGCCTCCCCGCTCCCTCCTTCCGCCCACCCCCTGCATCTGGACCTGCATCCCCTTCCCCAACCCCTCCGCCCCCATCCTGCGCTCACCCCTCCCCCAAAGTTCTGGCCAGCGCCCTTGCCTGGCATCCTTCTCTCCACCCCTCACTCCTGCATCTTCTTCCGCTTGGTCTGCTTTCAGATCCCTCTTCCCCCGAGGTCCCGGGTCGTCCAGCTCGACTCCGCCCCTCCAGACCCGGGATGTCCCCCGCAGCCCTGCGCCCATGGTGCTGACGCTGCTTTTCTCCGCCTACAAGCTGTGTCGCTTCTTCGCCATGTCGGTGCCACGGCCAGGAGCCGAACGGTTGGCGGTGCCAGGCCCGGACGGGGGCGACGACGCGGGCCCATGGTGGGCCGCGGGCGGCCGCGGGCCCCGCGAGGTGTCGCCCGGGGTGGGCGCTGAGGTGCAGAGCGCCCTGGAGCGCGTGCTGCCTGAGCTACAGCAGGCGCTGTCCGCGCTGAAGCAGGCGGGCGGCGTGCGGGCTGTGGGTGCTGGCCTGGCCGAAGTCTTTCAGCTGGTGGAGGAGGCCTGGCTGCTGCCCGCCATGGGTCGCGAGGTGGCTCAGGGTCTGTGCGACGCCATCCGCCTGGACGGTGGCCTCGACCTGCTGCTGAGGCTACTGCAGGCGCCCGAGCTGGAAACGCGCTTGCAGGCCGCACGTCTGCTGGAGCAGATCCTGGTCGCCGAGAACCGGTGAGGGCACTGGCCTGGGGGACAGCACCACAGGGTGTGGGAGCAGCAAGGGCGGTCGGGCGCCTGGGTCTCCCGTAAGTCTTGCACCGTACTTAGCCCTTTGACTGCCTTACCTTGCTACAGCCCTGCACGTGAGAGATCAGCGTGCCCGTTTTACAGAAAAGAAAACTGGGGCTCAAAAGTTTAGTGATTTGCCCAGCATCACAGAATGAACTGATCGTGCAGCCAGGATTCATTCCCTGAGCGAGCGAGCTGAGGGCTGGGGACAGGACGAAGAAGACTGGAGTAGGTCCCTACCTGCCCCAAGTCCTATGGATCAAGATAGCATTCTATTGCCAATGCCCCTCCAAACCCACCACCCTCCTATACCCGGGTCTGGGTGCCTTTCTGTGCTACGTTCTCTCCTCCCCCACCCACAGCACCCCCGCTGTGAAGGGAAGGAAACAAGACCGCTGAGATGAGTGAGGAGGGGGAAGACCCTCCCCTTTGCCCTCTCCCCAGGCTGAAATGAGTACTGGCCTAAGAGTTACTTACCCCCTCACATCACCCTCAGTCCACCTCCTGCTTCCTCTTTCTTCATTCTGGCACATGTAACAGTCCAGACATGATCGCATTCTGTGGCTGCTGATGAGAAACAGGTTTTCTGCTGGGATGAATGGGTGAGGGAGGAGGAAACCGAGGCACAGAGCTAGACTCAACAAAGCAGAGTATGTGTTTTCTCCCCCTGCCCTAGCATCTAGTGCCAAGATACAGTACCAAAACCTAACTAGTTGCCGTCAAGTTGACCCCGACTCATGGCAACCCCATGTGTGTCAGAATAGAACTATGCTCCACAGATTTGCAATGGCTGATTTTTCAGAAGTGGATTGACAGGCCTTTCTTCTGAGGTGCCTCTTGGTGGACTCCAACCTTTCAGTTAGCAGCATGTTAACTGTTTGCACCTCCCAGGGACTCAGTAAGGTGGGGTCAGACTGAGGTATGGTTGCCACTCTCTTGCCTGCCTCTTGGGATCGTCCCTGGAGTAAAAGACCCCTGAGGACTCACTTTCCCTCCCTCTGATGCCAGGGCAGATCAGGCTGACACACTCCAGTCTCACACTGAGTTCTTGGGTCCTTCAGACTAGAAGGGTTCTGGAAAGGTCACTTTCAGTTCATTCACCTCTCACTGCATGATGAGATGAGAATGGGGTAGGAGCACAATTCCTTGCCATTTTCAAAATGAAAAATAGCCTTGTGATTGGTGGAAACTATATAAGTTCAAAAATACATGAATGAAGCAATTTCGGTTGGGAGGCCAAGTTAGGACTCTCCTTGTCATTAACCTCTCATTTAATATCCAGTGCCAAGAAATTGGAGGGCTAGCAAGTGGAGTGGGTGCTCACTGGGTGTGGTGGGACCCAGGGTGGGGGGCATGTCCTGTGGGCTTGGTCCTATAGGGGTGGGGCTATGGCTAGAACACCTGGGGAGTGGGTGCAGCCAGCACCGTAGGAAGAAAAGGGCAACAAGATGCAAACAGAACTGACATTTTTCAAAGTAAAAAAATAACAATCCTAACCTAATTGAGAATTACTAGTGGTTAAGTAATGGAGCCCTGGTGGCACAGTGGTTAAGAGCTCAGCTGCTTATCAAAAGGTCGGCAGTTCAAATCCACCAGCCACTCCTTGGAAACCCTATGCGGCAGTTCTGCTCTGTCCTATAGGGTCACTATGAGTTGGAATCGACTCGAGGGCTATGGTTTTTGTTTCATGGTTTTTTTTTTAAATCACGAGAAACAACATGCCTTTGCCAGCATTGCTTCAGGACCAAGAACAGAGCACAACCTGGCCAGGATGAAAATCCCGAGAGAAGGGGTCGAGGAGTGGGGGTGGGGGTGGGGTGGCAACACACTGAGAACTTATGCTTGTAAAACCTTTTCCCTTCTCTTAAAAATGATTCTTCCATCAGTGTGCCCACCACTTTTTTATCGCAACCTGAGCTCTCTTCTACCCATGGGTGCTGCTGCACCCACAGCCCAGGAGCCTAGGTCATAGTTGCCCTGACCCCCAAATACCAGGAGAAGCCCAACAGGGTAGGGTCCTCCAAATCTGGCCCCACAACTCTGTTAGGGCCCCGCCTGAGTGCTAGC